GCGGGTTTGCGCGGGTTTGGGCTCGGCTTCCCCCAACTTATTTTGGGAAACCCCCGCCCGGACCCCCGCTGCCTTGGCCGTGGCCGGGGCACCCCCCCCGAACCCCAGCCGGGGGGGGGGGGGGAGGAAATCAGGGGTTTTTGGGGTAGAGCGCCGCCTGGGAGGGGGTTAGGGAGCGCCCCCCCGTTTCCTCTCCAGCCCCCTTCCTCGCCCCCCAAATTTTTCTTCTCTCCCAATCATTCCCCGTCCCCCCCCCCCACACCTCCCGAGAGCGAGGCGGCGCTGATTTGAATGGGAGTTTTCTTTGCTCTGGAAGGGGCAGCGGGTTTGCGCGGGTTTGGGCTCGGCTTCCCAGAACTTATTTTGGGAAGCGTCGCCCTGAACCCGCGCTGCTTTGGCGATGGCCGCGTCACTCCCGCAGACCCCGAGTTGGGGTGCGTGTGCGTGGACTAATCCCAGAGAGGTGTGTTTACAGGAGGTGCCTCCAGCTCGTTGAGAATGACCCCTTTATTCCCGCCTGCTTGTGAAGCCCCTGCCCGCTTGCCTCTCTCCCCCTTGGCGCAGCTCCCTCCGCTGCCATCTCTACCCCTCTTCAGCCTTGCCAAGGGAGGAGGGTAGCCCTCCTGCCCCCCCAACCAGCCTCGAGGCTGGAAACCCTTTGCGTTTGTCTTCCCCCCTCCCTGGGGGGGGGAGGAGGAGGAAGGGGCGAGGAGAGCCACCCTGAAGCTGCAGAGACCCTTCCCCTCAGAGGGCTGGAGGGCTGACTCGGTCCCACCCCCAGCCTTCTTTGTTCAGATGGAGATGCTTGCCTGTCCCCCAGGGAGCTGGCGACCACGCACACTTCCACTTGGACCCGGTTTCCAAGAGGATAGCAAAGTGGAGCTCTGGGCTTGGGGGTGGGATCCTTCCCTTGAACCTGCTGTACAATGCAGGCGTGTGTGAAGATTGATGTACTTTCTGGCTCCCTTCTGAATCCGGAGGGACCTCCAGAAAGAGAGAAAGCCGGAGTGGTGGAGCTGGTACCAAGAACCTGTGCCAGGCAGCTCCCCTCTCTCTGTGGTTTTACTGTCCTTCTGGGTACATTAAATATGTTTTTTCTCTATTACTGGGAAATCGGGGGATTTTTTTTCCAGCTAGGAAGGACATTCTCAGGGGTGTTCAGTAAAAAGGCAGGGGGATCATGGAAGAAAATTAGCCCCTGGCCTTCCCATCCATTCATTTTGGGTTGCTACCACGATCTACATCTACGGCGGACTGAGAGTCCACGGATTCCAAAGTTGGCGAGCTGGTGGGAGAATGTTAAATGAACAAATCACCATGTGGAGCAAAGGCTTACAATCACTTTGTGTAGCATAATTATCCATTTACCCTTCTTTTATGTACATCACAGTCCAGAAGGGACATTGTGGATTCTGTGCCCCACTCCTTCAGTGCCTATCTCTTGCTCTCTCTCAAGCAAATGGCTGTTATGCCACTGTAATCCATCCAAAATCAAGTCTCTGCATGTGTGTGTGTGTGCTTCTCTCTGCATGTATTAGATTTAGATTAGATTTTTTTTTATCCTGCTTTTATTATTTTTATAAATAACTCAAGGTGGCAAACATACCTAATACTCTTTCCTCCTAGCAAATGGCTGTTATGCCACTGTAATCCATCCCAAATCAAGTCTCTGCATGTGTGTGTGTGTGCTTCTCTCTGCATGTATTAGATTTAGATTAGATTTTTTTTTATCCTGCTTTTATTATTTTTATAAATAACTCAAGGTGGCAAACATACCTAATACTCTTTCCTCCTCCTATTTTCCCCATGACAACAACCCTGTGAGTTGGGCTGAGAGAGAGGGACTGGCCCAAAGTCACCCAGCCAGCTTTCGTGCCTAAGGCAGGACTAGAACTCACAGCCTTCTGCTTTCTAGCCTGGTGCCTTCACCACTATGCCAAACCGGCTCTCAATTCATTTAAGAAGATTGCATTGTCATATTTAACAGCGGGTTTCTAGACGGTGGCACATCAGATCTGCCAGTCAAAACATACTGTACAAATATTCAGTCTTTTCCCTTAATGTTTTTTTTTTCCTTTCGGTGGAAAGAGAAAAAAAAAAAAGATATGGTGGCACAGCCTTAGAGGGATTGAAATTATTGTTTGAACTTCCCATGAAATTTGTTAAACAATGCAGGTCAATTGATTCAACAAGTCTTGTCTGCAGGCGTTTTCAGGCACATCCATCAGTGCTGGTGAGAACTCCTCTTCTGCATCAAGTTACAACTTCAGGAAAATGAAGTTTGTGGAGATGTGATATGAAAAGGAAAATGTGAACCTTCTGATTAGACATTCCCCCCTTTGCAGTTGCAATTTAGAAATTTTAAAATATGCTGACAGGTAGGACAGGGTCCAGCCTAAGAGAAGGGTGATGTTCATCTTCTCCTTACTACGGTTAGAAGATGCCAAAGGTATAATAAAAACTAGATTTCTCCTCTCCCTTTTTCTGAGTCCAGCTGGGTCATAACTAAGGTAGCCCATAGTGTAATGAACAGGCATGGGATTTATTCTTTAAAACATGCTACATTAGATAATGTAGGAGGGCAGCTGCGTTAGTCTATGGCAGTCCAAAATCAGGAGTCTGGCAGCACCAGAAATTAGATAATGCATTCTTTTCCATCTGAGGAAAAAATGTTTTCAAGATTTTTTTTAAAGGAATTGAGGAAGTGTGAGGAAGTGGTACCATGCTTTTCATAGGTCTGCAGCCTAACATGGTAAAGCGTGTTCAGCCAGGGTGTAATACTGGCCAGAAACAGAAAACACACTCCCACTGAATTAGCAATTAAAGGCCAGGCCAGCAGTAACTCCTCATCCTGGAGAAATGCAGACTTTTTAAAAAACTTGTCCCTAACAGTAGAAACGCTTACTTACGATATTGTGCATCATTTGTGTAAATGATTTTGCTTCGGCAAAAATACCCACTCTGTCTTAGCAGACCTAGTACATGGAAGTCCTGTTTGGGAAGGATGTATTACGTGTGAATTGTTGGTCTTTTCCCCTGTGGCAGTGTCAGATACATACTCCAGCCGCCTCAGACTCTGCAATAGTTGCGAAGGGCAGCCACTGTCATCACCTTGGGTTGCCTGTGGAGCAACAAATGTAACACAGTGTGGTGTGACAGTTTGCCAGCAGATGTCACCCCATGTGTTGGAGAGAAAAGATCTCAGTTCTTTGAAGATTTTGGAAAGAGGGAGGGGCTCTCTTTTTCTGGCAGAGGGCGGTCTTGCGGTAAGGGCTTTGTTTGACACTGCTTGTAAAGGCCACCCTATTATTGTCATCCGTTGAGGTCTTCTAGGCATCTGTGCCTCAAGTCACTTACTGCATTTCCGATCAAGCTGACAACACTGCTAGGTCAGAAGTCCAAAAATGATGGGACACAGCCATGATGGAACATTCCTACAAGCGCAGGACATCTGGCAAGTCACTTGCTGACTATGGGCCCCTTGATTTACTAGGGTCAAAGGGGTGGTGCTGAAATTGGGTTTAATTAATGCAGCAGAGGTTAAGGCAGTAGTATGTACATCTGGGTAAGAGGAAAAGCCTTTCCTACATCAACCCAGTTGCAGACGTGACATCTAATTCCCCCCCGCCTTTTTTTGTCTTGGAGCCAGTCTTGACTCCTGTTGACTGTGCCCGGACAAGTCCCTGCAGTTTTCTTGGCAAGATTTTGGAAGTGGCTTGCCATTGCCTGCTTCC